TCCCGCCCACTTTCAAAGTATGCCAATGAAAAGGCTGTGTTTCCAGCTCCTTACTGTCAGGCATCATGAGGTTAACAGATGAGCCCCATGGCTATCGCCCCCCCCCCCCCCCCCCACACCCAAAGAATGACATGTTGATGAGTTGGCCTTCCAGCTTGGTTTACACAACACAGCTGCTAAGCTCCGAGCACCTGTCCATTGTGTCTGGGGCAGAAGCTTTGGTGGTTTCCATGGAAACCCCCCCCATCATGCTGCCACCCCCCTCCAAGTCCTCACAAGTCTCACAGATAAAGGAGAGGACGTGCCTGCAGCAGAGCCCAGTGGGGCCTGAAGTCTGGCAAGCATCCACTCCAAATTGCAGAGAGATCCCCCCGGTCCAGGGAGGTAAATCCAGCCCCCCCCCATGCGCTGGATTGTTTGGCAGCTGGCAAGGTTAGGAAGCCCCTGAGCTCACGCGAGCTCCATGGGACAGAGGGGGGGGATGTGTCGGGGAAAACGGCTTGTCCAGAATCAGTCTTTTTTCCACTGAACAAGATGGAAAATGGAAAATCTGTCTCCAGTGCTGCTTGGGTCGAATGACTCTGAGCCAATGGGGTCTTTTCAGCGGGACTCTGACCGTAAGCAGACATGTTTATTTGATTACAGCTGCTGTCCTTTGGGGCTTACTGGAAATGAAGAAATACTTCAATAATCAAGAGAACGTGAGCCAAAACAGGATTCTGTCACATCCCAACGTGCTGCTCATTAATGCAAATAGGTTGGGTTAGGGCTAGAAGTCTCTGGATCAAACTGGGATTCCTTCAGAGAAGAGGTTTGGTGAAACGGGAACGTCATATGTGGTGGTCTGGAGCGTATAGCTGGAAGAAAGTGTCAGAAAAGAGGAGAGAAACTTAGCCCTAGCGGAATGATTATGGAAGATCGACTTGAGTGTATTATCTGCCGCGCTGTTTGCCGGACGCCACTGGGGAGGAGTGGGGGGGCACGTTTCTCCTCAGAGAGGTGGAGCGGGTTCGTGGGTTGACATTTTGCGCCAGTTTAGGGCACTGCCTAGGCTTGTTTGTGGGCATCACTCCCCTGGGGGGGGGGGTCCTCTCAGGGCTGTGAGGCTGGAGGTCTGTGTGGTAGTCTGATCACGGCCTTCACTTCCTGTGTGGCTGAAAATGGCCTGTATTCTTTTTTTGGTATTGGATTTTAAGGAGTATAGTGGGATTCTATACTTAGTTTAGCAAGAGTATAGTTTAATATATATATATTTTTTGCTCACCACCACCCCCCCATTCAGAAGACATTTAATTTATTTGTTTATGCACACAAACGATCCATCCTGTGTAGATAGATACATCAGAAAGTTAAATCAAAACAGACGGGGAGGGATGAAAAACACACGTTAAACAAGCCACAAATGTCAAAATAAATATATAAATAAATTTAGACATTGCAAAACAAAACAACACAAACCAACAATTTGTAGACAAGGAGGCGTACAGTGACAGAATAAATATTTTGTATACTAACGTGTCTTTTATATGCTTATTTGTATTTAGTTTAGTATAGTTGTAGTATAGTATGTACATACATTCATACAGTCCTTTGCAATATAACCTCTTATTACCTATTATGTATTTTTTCATCACATTCTGCTAAATAACCAGATCCCAGGACGACGTACGCTCATACAGATCACATGACCACGGATCCTGTGGTCATGTGACACACTCACTGCCCACGGCACAGTCCTGCCTCACGATGCTCACTAGAGAGGCTGTCACAAGTTTAATCGCTGCCCCTCAGACATGTTCCCTGGCTTTTGCTAAATTTGGGAGGGCTTCTATCCCAGCATCCTCTCTCACAGCAGAAAGGCTGCCCAGCGGAGAGTCTGGCAGCCCAGCAAGCCTCCGTCACTGGCCGTCCTGCTGGTGAGATGCTGAATTTGGGGCTGAGAACACTCTCGCGGGGAGAGTGTTTAAAAATAAGAAACCGGCATCTTTGTCTGTAGGCGCTGCATGTAAAGCATGGGGCTTCTGGAACAGAGAGGCACGACTGGTACACAAGCATGAAGGCGTAGGGGATTGTGGGCAGGCATGTACAGGCACACGCGTGTTCACACGCTCCGCTCACACGCTCCGCTCACACGCAGTGCAGCGCATTGACCATTTGGTATGCATTAACTCATAACGGTGATGATTCACCATATAATACAGCTGTATAAATAATAAGAGTCTATTAATATGATAAAAAATATATGAAATATATATAAAAATCATTGGGAAATATGGTTCGGAATAGTGACTCTGTAGCACATGGATGGATGGATGGAGGGACTGCTCTTTCTTTTTTCAATAATGCCAAAATCTGCATCACTCTCATTTCCGTAAAATGCAGGACGACTATGCAGATTGACTCCAACACCTGCTTCATTTGCTGTATTAGCACCCATCCAAACCACATAATAGTACTTTAATTCGAAATGACCCTGTAATTTTGCTTCTTCTGATTCTTACCTCATTCTCTGCATTTGGTGTCCTGGCTGAAGAACAAAAATGAATATAACCAAAGGAAAGGAAAACGAAAAGGCAGTTGTCATTAGTCCAGGTTAACTACAGCAAATTAGCAGGAATAAAATCTCTGTGGCTTATTTGTTCTTAATGTTATTTGACACAAGATATATTTATTTGTGGGGACGAGCCACCTGGTGGCCCTCTGATACGGCTCTCCTCCCGCAGTTTGTGGTGTTCATGTTCTGGACGCTGTACCTCTACGACAGAGACCTGGTGTATCCTCGACTGCTGGACAACTTCATTCCGCAGTGGCTGAACCACGGAATGGTGAGTGATGTCATTCTTCTGGAACATGGCAACCCAGTGGGGGATGGGGGTGGTTGACGAATGGAGAGGAAAAAGTTTGTTTTGTTCCTCTGGGTTGCACTGATGGGGTTCCGTTAACGTGTCGCCCGGGAAATGACAGCTCCGTGACAGCCCACAGAGTGATTAAAGACAGAGGAGCAGTCAGACACAGTTACATCAGTGTTCCGTTTCATTCTCAACAAACACACTTATACACAGGCTATGGGTCATTAACCGGTCGCTGGGCCAAAATATCCTGCAGGAGTCAATATATACCAGCCTACATATACATATACTTCATTAAGAGTAATAATCCTTTATCTTACTCTCCATGAGACACATAAAGATAATTTGGGGGGGGGGGGGGGGGAGGGTGGTTATGGGCCCTCCTCAAAGTGGGATTTGAACTGCTGACCTTCTGATCACAAGCACAGAATCCTGCAGAGCCACTCACTGCCCCTGTAAGGCTGCATATGGTAGGAATAATCTGCATCGACCAGAATGGTTTTAATGTTCTTGTGTTTCTCTGCACACCATATTAAAGCACAGTCTGCCTTAGTCAAACTTGAATGGCACCTTTGACTTGAATTTTCCCACTGTAATATCCAGCTTTATTAATGGGTAAAATAAAGAATGACAAAAACATCTAAATTATATGCAATCTACAATTAATCATTTATTAATTATATTATGCTATTCTTTTATCCAGAATAAAAATATGCATTTAATTACAAACGCAAACATACTCAGAAAACAGAGCCTACTTGGCATTTATGAAAGCTTCCATGAATGACGTGTTATTGTCTACCGCTATTGAAATGTCAGCTTTGGACATTTGAAGAATGCTCGCGTTCCACTTCCCTACAAGTTCCTCTTTCTTCGTCTTTAATCGTGCTTCTCGACAGTCGAAAAGCCTGCTCTTAAAACTGTCAGAAGCGCCTCTGTTGACAGCGGCAAGGTGGCAGAGCGTGTTTTCTTTGATCTTGCGCTGACGTCAGACCTCTGAAGAAAGGCGAGAGATTGTGCAACGTGCGGATTTCCACCGCGGCGAGGTCACGCCGAGGGCTCGTGGTGGTTACCGGTGAACCGAGTCAGCGATGACCATGTGGGTCGTATGTCTCTCGGTTACAGACGTTCTGTTTTTCCCGTCCCCAAGCTTTCAGCCTCCAGTCACGTGAGCAGGGAGTCAAAGATGTGTCTATACCACAACCACTGTGACTCTCAGAGTACTCAATTATAGCTGCGGTTTGTTCTTTGTAATTATGACAATGCAAAAGATTTATACACTGCAAAATATGCATTTTTTAAAAATTAATTTATGCATTGCATAAAAATAATCATTTAAAATTCTGCCAGAGAACACTGAAATTGTCATGCACTAGCAGTGCTGAAAATGTAGGTTTTATCTGTGGAGAGCAGATTATGTTTCGGCCAAATGTTTGCTTTCCTTGCAAATTACCGTAAACATCCTCAATATTTTCAAAATGTATTTCAAATTCCCTTTTCAGACGTATTAGAATATAACCCCCTCCCCCAATAGGGGTAAACTCAGGACACTGAAATGAACCAGACCCTGAAGGACCCCCTCCCCCGCAAAAGACCTGCCCTCAGATAATTGAAATAAACAGCCGGCCTGACCCGCATGTGGGGTAAACAGGAGGCCGCCTTGGGCACGCCCCAAGGTAAACCGCAAGCTTCTCCCAGATGAAAACAGCGCCTGGCGCGCCAAACGGCCTGGCCTGCAGCGGCCCGGGGCAGGGCCGCTCTGCCGTAAATATTTTGCTGCATTCCATGGTACCGCATTTGTTTGTTTACCCCCGCTGCCACGGCAACTCCTTTCTGTTCCCTTCCGAGCCGTAGAAAAACCAGCGGCGGAGTGTCGTCACTGTTTGGGCGAAGACACGTGACTGGGGAGCTGAGCGCGGATTTGATCCCCCTGCCTAGCAGTTGGATCTGAGTCCGCCCCCCCCTGCATGTGACAGACGGCCAGGGAAGAGCTGGATCTGTCAGGTGAAGGCTGACGTAGGCTGAGGCTCACCCTGCGTTTCCCCCATGCCCCTGTGAGAAAAACTTACATAACAGGAATTTCTTGAAGCATTACAAAGTCCTGAAGAGACATCTCATGGTCCCCTGAAGTCAAGAACAATCATTAATGAGGGGACATCACTGGATCAGGTGGCACTCTTTATGACACTATCCCAGATTTTTACCCATTCATTCAGCTGGATGTTTGACAGGTTGAATTGTGTGGTTCAGAGGTTGCACAAGGTAACCAGCAACCTTATGATTATAGGTCTGTGCCATTAAATGATACACGTGGCGCTGGCAGTGGGGGAATGGAGTGTCGGCGAGTTTCCCGCTCCACGCCGCTCGGCTTATTAGCCGCATTCCCCGCTGCGTTTCACGACGGCATCCTTTCCCGACGAAAGAGCGGATTTTCCCCGGCGGAGACGAGACGGCTAGATGCCGCTTCATGGATCATCGGCCATCTGTGGCACACAGACGCTGAGTGACATTGTTTCCGGTGACGACGCGGCGGGGGGGCGGGGGGGGAGGCCTGAGCTCATGGGGGCCTCTGGTTGCAGGCACCGCAGGGGTCAGGGGTGCCACTAAGAGATTTTGGGCCCCATGAAAGCATATTACATTGGACTCCCAACCCAGATGAATTTAATCATGTTCCAATAATTAAAGACTTTGAGGCACTTGGCGCAAATTTTTCAGGAATCGTCCTAAGGCCCCCCCCCTTTACGATGCCCCTCCTCAGGGCTTCTATCCATCACACTGCCACCCTCATCCTTAATTCAACGACAGTGTGGCGTGAGGCATGGCCCATTGTGCAAGCGGGCTCCTGCGGCCGATTATCCCCGACGGACTCCCCACCCCCACACCCTGCACCCCGCCTTTGTGGGCCCGCCAACTGTAAAGACCAGGGGGACAATGTGATACACTGCGGCTCCAGGAAGAGCTCTCTGATTCCACTCCATCAACTATTCATGTCCTTAGGCCGCCAGCCCAAGCTCATTATGGGCGTTTTTCAATGCCCCCCCCCCCACCCCCCTTGCCCCTGCCCCCCCTCCGGCCTTTTTAACACACGGATGCCTCACATAGCTCTTGTCCAGCCCCCTGATCCGGTTAGATTCCGGCACTCATTTCCGCCGGTGTCGTATCTCGTGGGCATGGTAGCCATTGTAAGTGCTCTCCCCCGAAGTGTCTCTGAACTGTCTGTGACTTTTGAAACATGCATTTTGATCCTGTAATTTTGGGCTGTTGTTTAGAGTCCGAAACAGCTGTTCTCCATCTCGCTTTGGAGCGGGTGCAACTTGCAGCGGCGTGTTCGGATCCTTGAAGCTGCAGTGCTCTCGCGTTCGCTCCCGTTCATGCCGCGGATGAGAGCCTTTATTACGACGCCACAAGGTATTTCCTCATTTAACGCCAAGTGACATTGTCTCACTGAACATTCGCTTTCACAGAGAGGTGGACAAAATTATGTTTATGCTTATTGTTTGTTCACCTTGTTCAAATCTGGTTTCAAACCTGGTGTTAGATGACTCGCTGACGATGTACACTTTTGGGATTAATTCTTGGTGTAAGATAAAAGAAGCAATATCACCAAGATCACGGTGAAGTACGGTTTGGGCTTCAGTGCCGCCGTACATATTAAACGCAACTTGGAATCCAGATGAAGTTTTAGTACAATATCAGGTGCTGAACATAGACACATCATCCATAATTAACAATGTTCAGCTTACCCACCTGGTTTGCCTCCCACTGGGCTGCAGTCCAGACCTGCTTCGGCAGGGGGTGCATGCTGTGACACTGCCACCTGGTGGACGGTAGCGGTACTAGCCACCAGACTGTCTCAGCGGCCGCGCCGGCAGCCGACCTCAGGACGACCCTTCTGAAGCTCCTCTGCCCTTTTTCCAGGCTTATAAAGATGGGGTTTCCACTGGCTGTAGCTGGCCTTTTGTGCATGGGGATCGTGCCTTTGCATCGCAGGTTAGGGTAGACACACAGATTAACAGGTCTGGGATGGTGTCCAGCTTCCAGAAGGGAAGGAGCATTGCCGGTTGGGGTGAAGCGTACATTCCTAAGCTGCGGAAGGAGAAACGGCTGCTTCCTTAGAGAGGACGCGAAGCTGTCAGACATGTAATCCTCTGCAACGCATCAACCGTGACTCATCAGGCTTCATTAAGGGTCCTGTATCAGCCATCACAAAGAGGTCTTGCTAGACCTTCTCCTGTCAATGTGATTGGACGGATTAGCCCCCAGTAACACCCCCCCCCCCTCCCCCAGCCTCCACTCTCCAAAATCCCACCAGCTTCCCAAACCCCTCGTTTAACAGTCTCTAAACAAGGCACCTCCCCTCCATTTGTTGATGCGAGGGCGACTCCTCTTGGCCACAAGATGGCTGCCGGGTGTCACATGATGCTGAGGAGGGAAGGTGCATCTCTGGAAGCAGGAGTAGCAGACCCTGTTGTTTGGGGCGTAACTCCTTGCTCGATGGCCAGGGTTTAGCCCAGGCTGGGTCGGCGGGCAACGGACCTCATGCATCTCATCCCTCACACAGTGTATGTTTTACTTTCTGTGCCTTCCTGCCGTCATGTAAGTGCTATTATTTTGCATGTAAATGCAACCTTTTGTGAAGCACGGTTTGACAGATGGGATCTTGTTATTATTACTGGCAAATGTCCAACGCACCGCCAAGGACATACTGTACTCCTGCTCGGCACAGTTAAGGCTGCAGAGGAGCGGATAAACACAGCGGAGACAATCAGCTGTTTTATTTTTTTTTTTTGTTTCAGTAAGCCATGGCATGCAGGAGATTTAACTCTGATTTTGAGTTAAGTCCAGATTTTTGAGATATCACATTATTCTCCAGGCAACTTCGGTCAAGCTTTGAAACTGCACTAGGTCAGGACATTCTGGATTGTTCCATGTATAAAAGAAATTTTGGCTGACATATTTCGTTTGTGGGTTTTCTT